CCCCCGCTCTACACACACCCAGATGACGCAGGTATGTGTTTGGCTTTATGGTTTTATTCGAGCGACAAATTGAACTAAAAATAATCCTTTGCGGTGGTAGGCAAGCGTTCATGCGTTGGAAGGTGGGCTCACTGGCTTCATGGGGGCACAACTTCGCCCAGCAATGTGAGATAAAGGGAGATGGGATGCTTGCTACACGGGATGAGGCGTGTACGAAGGAAATTTTCCATGTACATGTTATCCCACGTCTTTGAAGTATCCGTATAGTTACCTTGCAAAATATGCACACTTTGTATAAATTGACACAGCGTGACCTGACCCCTACGGCATATTACTTCATTCCTGTGCTCAGTTTTCAACTGAACTACACTTCGTACCTTCAAATTTATAGGAAATTACATATATCCTGGGGGAAAATGTGAATTTTCGTCATTAGGGGTTGAGTTTACATCCCAAATGCACATGTGATATTCTTCTTGAGTTCTGAAAATCGAAAAAGAACTCGGGTTCGTGATTGAAGCCATTTCTATCATTTCTTCCTCGAAAAACCGAAATATAAAAATTTTGTACGACTTATGTGGGTAATATCCATCAAATAATTCGTTAATACGTTTTGCAATCATCTCCTTGGCCTCTCCACTTCTAATTTGTTAATTAAATTTAATAATGACGGATTAATTACAAGCATAAACCTAATTCACTCGACGATTGAAAAAATCCTGAGGTAATTTACTCCCTAATCAGCGAACAATGAGGATGAGTTCACTGATGCCACTGAAACGATTATGAAATTGAGTTTACCTGATGCTTTTCCCATCGACATTCAGCTCCACTCGCTGGTCAGCATGGTTTTGAATGTTCTTCTGGCTGACCGATCAAAACCCCCCGCCTTGTCGAGTGAACAAACGATATGCCAACGTTTGTGTACATTGTACCTGTGTATATGTGCAAATACAACAAGGCCGTAAACCGTTGGTCATAATCACGGACCACCTGGCACAAAAGAGACATCACTTCCGGATCTACGTGTGTGTATATCGTACAGTAGACGAACTGGAAAGTATTAACTGGATAACCCGGTACTGAGGCCACATCCCCTGGCCCCCTTACTCGCCTCTTCCCCCTTTCACCCTATTTCTCGTTGCTGGCAGCATCAAAAAGGGGTCCAGACAGTACCACTGCCAGCAACAGACTCGAATTTCAATCTCTACCCATTTACTCAGTCTCATCAAAATTGTTTTCCATCTATGGTTTTTCACATTTTTTTCCCCCATTCTGTCATTCTTCATTCTCAATTGATTCTGGATAAATCCTGCGCATCTGTCGATGAAAAACTGTTTCAAATCAACTATTGTGAGATGGATTGAGCTATTGGCAGGTTTATTTTTTTATCGTTATTTTACATCGCTTCGACCCGGTTAGGGTATACTGGGATGATGATCAAGACTTTAAATGGTTAGATCGCACCATTCTACCCGGCCGGGATTTGAACTCGGAACCTTTCGCATGGGAGGCAACGAACTTACCCACTGCGCTGAGCCACCGGGCTATGGGCAGGTTTGGAAAAAGTCACAATTTTTTTTGGCAATCGTCATTTCCTTGAGTGCAATTTCACAGCGATTTTCGGAGTTATTATATTTTTTAT